CGACAATTAGAGAAACTTCATCGAGAACAATCGGGTGCCTCTATGGCGAAGTTCACCGTTTATCGAGGTCAGGGACTTTCCCAACAGGATTTTAAACATTTAGTCGACTCGAAAGGTGGACTTCTCTCATTCAATAATTTCTTGTCGACCAGTATTGTATATTGTTTTTTTTTGTATTTTAAAGCAAGCATTATTGATTCTTTTGTATAATGTTGAATTGATGAATCAGTTGACATAGAAATAGAAGAATTACTGGGTTGTGTACAAGAAGAAGTTTGATTGCTTGAATCCAATAACAAACATTCACAATCATCCATAATATTCGAATGAATATTTCTAAAATATTTAATTCTTTTTTTTTTTCTAATATTCAATTAGAAAAAAAACTTACTCGACAAATTGAATATTAAAAATAACACCTGAGTACCACCAACGAAAAATTTAATATTAGCACCAAAATTGAATACTAGCACCAAAATTGAATACTAGCAACAATACTTGAATACCAACAACAACAAAACAAACTAAATACTAATAACAACGAATAATGAACATCTAGAGACAACAAAGAATGAAAAAGATTATTCATCGAATCATCACACTGCATTATGACTGGCTCACCCATTACAACCAATAAAAAAATGCGTGATAATATCTGAGTTACGAGTGACATCTAGTTGTCGTGCAATCACCCTCTTTTTTTCTTGGTATATCTCATCGAAAAAAATCCGCTGAACTTAATTTTAAAAAATTATATCAATTCTTTCCAACCGAACCGAACGTAACCGACCGATTTTTTAAAAACTCTCTAACCGAACCGATTTCGGTTTCGGTCGGTCAGTTCGCTTCGGTTTTCAACCCAACCGATCCCACCTCTGAACGACAGTATTGAGAGATTATCTCACATTGGACTCGTGTTTGCTTCTTGAAAATTTGCCTAGAAAAGTCGAAGTCTTTAAGAAGGCTGCACAACGTTGTCACTTTGCTAAAATGGTTACCTTTTATGTCACCACAGAAAAAATAACATCAGATGTGATGTAAAAACTTGCGCCCCTCAATCTAGATTGTCTTGAAACCTCCTCATATTCCCAATCCTGGGACCCTCGCGTAGAGCCTAGATATGAGATGTGTGATTGTCTCCCTATCAACAACTACTCTCGCATTCACACCCACACCCTCAAGTTTGCCAACTAGCCTAAAAATCCTGGGTACACCGCTGTACGTAAGTCTGATGTTGATAGGTTTATAAGTATTGTAAGCGAAACAAAGTATGATTTATCGCTTTCGCTGTACTCTCGAAAACCTTTAGTCGGTTCGTGAGATCGGTATCCGACAATTCACTTTAGTTGATATTTTTGAGTTTTCAATATGTCGGAAGCTCTTTCAGGGTTACTTGCAATACAGTATTTTTTATACAGTAGTTCTTAGGATGTAGTCATCAGAATGTAACAGCAACGCAGGTTAATTTGTAATAATTGCTGAATTTCAATAGATTTTTATCGTATGTTTTTTTCAATGGGTAAGAATAATGGTGATTCCAAAGGTCGACAATGTGAGCTATTCGAACATCATACAATGGGCTATTTAATTTCAGTCTGAATTTATCAAATAAAAATAATACTTGATTTCAAACTGAAACGTGAGTCTAGGAGTGAGGGGGGGGTGACTGAGGGTGTGGGCGCGTGAGTGAGGGTGAGGCTGTGCTTGTGGTTTTGTGTACTATAGGCTTTAGTCCCCTGAAAAGGGACTAAGGGGGGACTAAGCTTTTTGTGGGCGGGACTAAGGGGGACTTTGCAGGACTAGGGGGGACTAAGGGTTTTTAGTGAGACTACGTAGTATCAAGCGAGAAAAGTTTGATTCGGAAGAAATTGGTGTGGTTTTTTTGATTTTAGAATTCAGTTTGAAATAAAAAAGCCCATAAACTCTCGAACATGCAGAAACCTCAAAAATCGATTATTTTTCACAGGAACAGGGCCTTATTGAACATATTAAGTGATTGAAAATTGAGCTGTAAAGCATGGTCGTTTAATCTGCCCCACTCGTTACTTTAGCATAAACAGACGATGTATTATCATAAAATTCACCGTAATTTACTGCTCACCAAGACACTTTATAGTCTGGTGTGCAAAAAACAAAACGAACAACTTTCCTATTTCGTTTCGATTCCATAGGAAGTAGATTTGTGAGGATGATATCATTTTTGAATTGTCCTCAAAAAAGAACAGGTCGCCATGGTATTCGTCCAACGTGCCATGCGCAAGAATAAAGACATCGTGGGTGTTCTTTTCATCATGAAAATTGATCCAAGTAAAATTTCAGCTTCCACTACTCCATTTGCCCGCATTGATGACTACAGTGCTATCAAAAGTGAAAAAGAAATTCTATTCTCAATGCACACTGTTTTTCGTGTCGATGATTTCAAGCAGACGGTCAGCAACAGTCGCCTATGGGAAGTACAATTAAGTATCACAGGTGACAATGACCCACAACTGGCCGCTCTTACCCAATTCATACAAAAGGATCTCCGTGAATCCACAGAATGTTATCGATTGGGCCATCTAATGCTTCAAGTGGGTCACTTCAATCAAGCTGAAGAACTTTACAACGAATTACTGAAGAACTCGTCCAGCGACAGTAATAGAGCGGGTATATATCATATGCTTGGAGTGATGAAATTGCATCAAGGACAATACAAAGAAGCAGTTTCATTTTATGAAAAAACACTTGAAATCGAGCGAAAAACTCTTCCGGAAGATCATTCTTCATTGGCTCCTACTTACACTAGCATCGGTCTTGCGTATGACAGCATGGGTAACTACTCGAAAGCACTTGAATTTTACGACAAAGCACATAAAATCTATGAAAAATCTCTGCCTCCGAATCATCCCTCATTGGCTACTCCCTACAACAACATCGGTCTTGCGTATGACAACACGGGTAACTACTCGAAAGCACTTGAATTTTACGACAAAGCACTTAAAATAAAAGAACAATCTCTGCCTCCGAATCATCCCGATTTGGCTACTACCTACAACAATATCGGTGGAGTGTATGACAGCATGGGTAACTACTCGAAAGCACTTGAATTTTACGACAAATCACTTAAAATACTCGAAAAATCTCTGCCTTCGAATCATCCCGATTTGGCTACTTCCTACAACAACATCGGTTTTGTGTATAATAACATGGGTAACTACTCGAAAGCACTTGAATTTTACCACAAATCACTTAAAATAAGAGAAAAAGCTCTGCCTTCGAACCATCCCTCATTGGCTACTTCCTACCACAACATCGGCCATGTGTATAATATCATGGGTAACTACTCGAAAGCACTTGAATTTTACGACAAATCACTTAAAATAAGAGAAAAAGCTCTGCCTCCGAATCATCCCGATTTGGCTACTTCCTACAACAACATCGGTCTTGTGTATGACAACATGGGTAACTACTCGAAAGCACTTGAATTTTACGATAAATCACTTAAAATAGGAGAAAAATCTCTGCCTTCGAATCATCCCGATTTCGCTACTTCCTACAACAACATCGGCCTTGCGTATAACAACATGGGTAACTACTCGAAAGCACTTGAATTTTACGACAAATCACTTAAAATAAGAGAAAAAGCTCTGCCTTCGAATCATTCCGATTTCGCTCAATCCTACAACAACATCGGTGCAGCGTATGACAGCATGGGTAACTACTCGAAAGCACTTGAATTTTACGACAAATCACATAAAATACTCGAAAAAGCTCTGCCTCCGAATCATCCCGATTTGGCTACTTCCTACAACAACATCGGTCTTGTGTATGACAACATGGGTAACTACTCGAAAGCACTTGAATTTTACGACAAATCACATAAAATAGGAGAAAAATCTCTGTCTCCGAATCATCCCTCATTGGCTACTTCCTACAACAACATCGGCATGGCTTATTCCGGACAAGGTGACTACCCAAAAGCACTTTCATATTTAGAAAAGGCGCTTGCCATCCTCAAAGAATCACTCCCGCCAACACATCCTAATATTAAAGCGGCGATGAATAATATTGTCAGTGTGAAAAAGAAAATGTAATTGTATTTTTTTTCTTCTCGATTCCTCAATAAATTGATTTTGATTGCAATTCACTTCCCTTCCTGGGTTTTTCGGTTCATTTTCGCGTACGCGTGCGCGGAACCAGGAAGACCTCCTGTAAGCCCGAAATGGGTACACGCAGAGCGGACCACGCCGGTCTGGTAGGGCATGATCATAGGTGTGACGTACGTAAACGGCGGCAGGGACCTACGAACAGACGGCCTTCCCTAGTACTCCACTGCTTTCGCCAACATAGGCACAGGAGATCTCCCTGGGTCAGATTACGAAGCCATCTGACGGGCTGTGATATAAGTTAATACCTCACTCTACTACTACAACAAAGAAAAACAAAAAATATTCCATCTGGAATAGATTACATGTCTACCTTATCAAAAAAATAACTTGAAAGGTTCTATTGGCCATTAGAACTTTTCAATTTATTTATATTTATTTGCATCTCAATAAGCAAAAAAAAAGACTAAATTTAGTTAGTAACTGTCTTATCTCTCTATTCTCCTTCTATATAAAAAAAATATAGCAACATACCCGATTTGAAATTGAAATATATAAAACATTACGTAAATTAATAATACATGTTAACATTCAAATTTGGAACATTGTAAATAATGATACGGTACCGTATGATTGTATAAATTTCATTATCATAATTATGTTTCAATAGAATGATTTCATACAAAAAAATCATTGTTTATATGTTTGAGACATGAACTTTTAGTCAATGACCTTACAGTGTTATTTTTTTTTCTCCACCAATTAAAAGATTGATAATCGAAAAGAAAACAATTGATTCTCATGAACTCAATAATTGATGAAATGATCATTGTCATCTTTGTTTTCGTCGACGATCAATTCATCACATATGTACTTATTCTCTTAGCACTATCCAGTACTTTAATCCGTGGTTGAAAAATCAACATCTGAAAATATAACATGATTCAATGGCATCATTACTGAAAAGCAGTTTTTTATTTAAAATATTCTACATTGAATAAAAATTGTTCTACAACATTTAAACAATTTGTTCGTATTCAATCAAAAGTAAGAAAAA